GGGGTGTGTGGCAGTAACACCCCTCAACAGCATTAAAAATCATGGTAGAGGGCTGTGCCATCCCTGATGCTGGGTCATGGCAACCTCTACCAGCTGGCTGGAGGCCACTAAGAAGCAGCTGAGTGGCTCTGGGGGGACAACGTTCAGCAAAACTAGGGTGACTTAAAGTTGTGGGCCAAGCAGAAGATCAGCAAGGAAGAATGTGACTGTGAAGTGCATCAACTTTCTGCATAGGATAATGTCCATCCTGGCCACGAGTTTCTCCTGCCATTCTCACTAGCCAACAGACCTGGGTTTCCATGCCAGAGGGTGCTGGATCTTTGCACTGGACAGGTGGTTCTGCAGCCAAACCTGGGAAACCAAGGGCAGTTTAAAGCTTTCTTCTGTTCGTCAGCAGTTCATGGTGGATTACAGCCCCAGAATCCCCTCTCTGGAGCACAGCAGTTCGCGGCAAAGGATCCTCAAAATGCCAACAACTTAAAACTTTGTTCCTACCCATAGTCAGCTCCAAGGAGGATGGCAGAGACCATCTATCGGCATGGGCTGGAGCACACGGCACAGGACACCATTTCAGCTGTGGTCTACRTGGTGGAGAGCCAACTTGAAGACTGTCATCAGTGGTATCCTCAAGGAAAGGCCTTTGGTGGCAAGATGACCATTTTAAATAGGCCTTCAGCAGCAGTGACCCCACAGCCTTGTCTGAAGAACAATGTGGTGGCTTGTAATACTTTAATCCAAAGTCCTCCAGCTGCATCTGCCCCCCGTGGGGGTCAGAACCTGGCTGTGCACCTCCTCGGTGCCGTGGGAACGGCAAGCCTAGCCCCTGGTGGCCTGCTTCAGGGATGCTCTGCATGTGCCTTACCTCCAGTGAACATGTATGACCTTCTTGAGACCTTGCAGGCACACGGGGAAGTCATGCCCACACATGCTGTGCATGCCCTCAACATTGAAAGAATCGTCATGAACCAGCATAAGTTGCTGCAGCAAGAAGAATCCCATGGCCAGGTCTTGGAAGCCAAAGAGGAGGTTTTGCTCTGATAAATTAGGATTTGAGGGTGTGGGACCCTCACCAAATTCATTGCTTACTGAAAATGGAATGTTTTGGGGTTCACATTTAGAGGCTGAAGTGCAGAGTGTGTATATGACCTTTTCTATAGAAACATGACTTGCTTTGAGCTGCTGCTGAGAAGCCATTCATGTAAGTATGATGCCACCCCATGTCTGCATGTACCTTGTTCCCAGTTACCAGAGCAGGTGTTGAAGTCCTGTGCCCAGTCTGAGGCAGTGTGTAAGATGGACCATCCTACAGTGAAGACACTATTGCATCATGGCCCCACAATTGACAGGGCATTCTTGTGTTCAGTGACAGCACAGATATTCCATATCTGGCAAAACAAAACTTCTGCCTGTCCTGAAGACCTGCACTCTTTTTGTTGTTATTATTGGAATAACCCATACAGTGTTGAAAATCAGATATCTCCTTTTGTTAATAGTTATAGGAAGCCCCCAAACAATTCCTCATTTTAACTATACAGAAAATAAGACTTGCAAATKCTGTGATGTTGGACAAAATAAAGTCCTTTCTTTGCATTTAAAACCAAAAAACCAAACAAATAACCCTCATGGAATGAAGTTTACCTTATAAAATGTCTTCCTGAAGCTTCAGTTTGTTTCGTGTTGATATGCCCAGAAATGACTGAAGGCTCATCGATTAATTGTTCTTACAGAGCATGTATCAAGGAATATTATGGATTCATTCTTGGCAATTCTCCTATTCTCAGGAAATATCTATTTCTACCATTTCAAGTGATAAATGGAAAATAATCTACTTTGACAGTGTTACTGATAACCAATTTTGCTTTTCTAGAGATATGCTGCATTTTACTCAAGACATAGTGTTGATGGATAAATTAGAATATATAGATGGATTTATGTAGAACTGAATAATGATTATATAAATATTTGTACATGGTTCATATATTTGGATCTATGTATTTGGCTTTATGTTTTAAATGTAACAAACATTTTGGGGTAAAAAAATCACAGTAGAAAAAACTGAGATAGAGAGAGATTCTTGTTTTTAAGAGAGCCAAACAATTCTGGAATTTCAGAAGCTATCAATTGCACAGATGAAACAAAATTTTAAATATTTCTTCACAAGCATAAAGAGGAAATGTTGGCACTTTTAACAAGAAACCAGAGGAAAATAAGCTCTTTTATACTTTTAACTATTCATATGTACTTTTTAACTATATATAATTTTAACTATTCATATAACTGTGATATTTAATTTCCACAGGATGACTGTGAATAGATGACTTACAGGCCTCTTAATTATGGCTGATATTCTCACATTATTGGTCCATTCCTTTATAGTGACAGTGTTTAAAGAATAACCCCTCAGACAATAAAATACTCCAGCCGATTGAATTAATTTACCCTTTTAAACACTATTGAAGATATTTAAAACTTCTGAGGTCCATCAGAGGAAGTTCTGGCTCTGCAGAACAGAGCAAAATCCTGAGCACATATCTACCTGAGCACATCAGGACAGAAAGGACACCATGCAGGGTCAATTTTAGAGTGGATAGGACACTCATTCACATTGTTCTGTTAGGCCTTTATAAATTATTTTAGTATGCTAGGCCTCTAATAGCAAGATAAACATTTGTTTTTGATTCTCAGTCTTAACATTCTCCTAATATATAATTTCAAGATAACTATTTTATAAAATAGGCAAAATAAATGTGCTTTTTAAGGTATTAAATTACTATTGGTATTTGCATAAATTAGGAAAAAGCAGAAATGTTGAAGCTATTTTGGAAATCACCAAATCTACACTTCTTATGGTAGTTTCCTAATAGAGGACTAGAGGTTTAGGGGTCAATTAACTTCAATCTCCAGTGCCTTGAAAAATGTTACTTGCACTTCTGTACCAGAAATAAAAGTAACACTCATTCAAAGCATCTTCTGTAACTGTCCATTATAACACATCTGTTAAGTAATTTCTTCCCTGCCTGAAGCTGGGTATTATATGGCTATAGTGCCCTTCACCAACACCATACTCTAGCTTTCCAGAACATCTGTGATTTGCAAACATATTTCACTCTTGTTTACCAGAAGTCTTATTTGAAATGAGATCACATAGTAATGGGAAATGGAAAGCAAATGAGGAATAATGAACTAGGAGTTCCAGGGAGAAATTATTTTAATGAGGGGGGCAGAAATCTCTCTTGGGCCTGAATGCATCAAACCACAGTTGTCCAGACTCCTCTGTGGGGACAGCTATAGACCATAGCAAAATTAATAGCTGCCTCTGGGCTTGTGATGCACATTTCAGACAAAAATTTTTTTAAAAAAATGTTTTGTTCCAAAAATCTGAGGATGATTTTTGATACCCATGAACAGATTCCTCAATGATTGTTTTTTTTTTTTCTCTCTCTCATGGTTGAGTTTACATTGAATTTAAAAAAATAGTTTTAAATGTTTGACAGATTTGAACTGAGACAGCATATCATAAAAGATTTACTTATAATGTTGAAGAACAAGGACAATTGTGACATCAATTAAAAATAAAATATTTATCCGGGCTGGGATTGTGGCTCAGCAGTAGAGCACTCGCCTAGCACAGGCGGGACCCCAGGTTCAATCCTCAGCACCATATAAAAATAAAGGCATTGTGTTGTGTCCATTTACACCTAAAAAATGAATATTAAAAATAATTTATGGATATAATAAATCAGTTAAAATTTATAATTATCACAAGCTATTACTGATCACATACTATGTACAAATCACTTTAATAGCAACTTACTACCCAGAATGAGGCTAAGAAGGAGTAAGGACATAGGTGGTCTTACAATCAAGGAATTTGGACTCTAAAAGGAGACATACAGAATGTATACAAGTAATATTAACTAGAAAAACTGTCATTTCATCATAGAAAATTGCCATAGGTAAAAAGGAAAGGCAACATTTTTATACCAAAAAATTCCAAACTGTTTTACAAGAATGCTGTATTAAATGATGGGTTGAAGCATGGGAAAGATTCAGTGTGGATTTTTGTGGGGCGGTGAGTTTGGGGTGATACTGAATGCCTAGCTAAGTTAAAGTGGTGAACTAAGTGCGAAGCCCTGGCAGGACTAGGGCTGATCACCAGGTCAAAGGCACATGCACGGCGCACTCCAGGAAGAGGACACTGCTGGTCAGAGAACCTCAGTGGCTCAGGCCTGCACACCACTTCCACACCACTCGGTCATGTCAGTGACCTGGGGTGGTTTAGATTCTCACATCCTTTTAGTAAGGACTCAGGATGGCGCCTGGCATTTTGCCAGAGAAATGTTAGAGTCTGTAAACAAGTCTGGATGGCGCCTGGCCTGACTTGTTTACAGACTCTAACAAGGACTGTAGACCTACTACTAAAACATTAATAAGATACACCCACTAAGCTTCTGCGAGCGTCGTGCACTGTCTAGACCCCAGAGGGCACCTCTCCAGAATGATTCTGTGACAGGTGTTTTACAACTTTATAAATCATTGATAACTGGTAGCAGTGAGAAATGTCTCTTGTCTGTGATGTGCTAATGCAGTCCTGTAAGAAATGGAAGTGATGACTTTCTCCACGGCGGAAGCATTTGTGCCATTTGTACGTTTATTTCACCATTCCTTCACTCCTTATAAATCTGTGTTTTGTTTTATTTTTTTTAACTTATTATTACATCTGCCTGGTTCCCTCGTTGAGTGAAATAAATCTTTAATACATGTTCATTTTATATTTATATCAGAGTCATTTCATTTGTTCTGGGACTGAGTTTCACTAAATATCATTCTGTGGAGATGTATGCGTACCGTGTGTAGCAAATAGTTGATTCATAATGACTTTGAATATACTTCATTAACAGGAGGGTATGAAGGTACCTGGAACCGCTTTGTGCYGCACAGCGCTCCTCATCGCCGTCGYCCCGGAGCCTTCCGCAGGGCTGCCCTCACCTCCCGACTCCTCAGGGCGTAGATGAGCGGGTTGAGCACGGGCGCGCCCAGGTTGTAGAAGAGCGTGGCGAACTTGCCCCGTCCTGGGAGGAGCTGTTCCCGGGCTGCATGTACCTGTAGATGATGCTCCCGTTGAACAGGGAGACCACCGCCAGGTGCGAGCTGCAGGTGTTGAAGGCCTTCCACCGCCCGGCGGCGGACCGCATCCTCCTCACCGCCGCCGCGATGTGCCCGTAGGACACCAGGATGAGCGCCAGGGGCAGCAGGACGATGAGCACCGCGAAGGCGAAGGCCAGCATCCCCACCGCCCGCGCGTCCGCGCAGGCCATCTTGATGAGCGCCGGCATCTCGCAGAGGAAGTGCGGGACTCTGCGGCGACCACACCGCGGGAGGACCATGGTGAGCGGCGACATGACGCCGGCGTTGAGCAGGCCGCTGCCCCAGGCCGCAGCCACCAGCCGGGAGCACAGCCCCGGGCGCAGGAGCACGGCGTAGTGCAGCGGCCGGCAGACTGCGGCGTAGCGGTCGTAGGCCATCACCGCCAGGAGGAGGCACTCCACGCCCCCGACGGTCAGGAAGGAGCTGAGTTGCACSGTGCAGCCCGCGAAGCTGATGGTCTTGGTCGGGCCGCGGAGGTGGACCAGCATCTGCGGAATGCAGCTGGTGCTGAAGCAGAGGTCCAGAAAGGAAAGATGGGCCAGGAAGAAGTACATCGGGGTGTGAAGCCCAGGGTCCAGTACGCACAAGAGGATGATGGTGGAGTTGCCCAGCACGGCCACAACATACAGGGGGAGATTCACCGCGAAGAGCACCATCTCCAGCTGGGGCCGGTCGGAGAAGCCCACCAAGATGAAGCCATCCTCCACGCTGTCGTTGGACTCTCCCAGGCTCCCTTTCACCTCATCTGTGGCGCAGATGGGGACGAAATGAGAGCGGTGAACCTACACTTCCAGAAACCTCGAATATCAGGATGTGGGGGAACACACGCCCCCCCCCACCCCAGACTATCGGTCCTTCCCCTTTGCTCAAACACTGGTAAAGCATTCACGTGGGAAAATCCTGACATCATCAATTTTATTAAGTAGAAATTTTCTCCTTATTATTCAGAAAGAAAAATATTTTAGCTTTAATGTRTGTACAATCACATTATAATCTCTTCTTTTGCATATTTATAGGTCATTACCCTATCTCAACCTAGTCATTTTTTGTTTTCTCTTTCTGGTACTGGAGATGGAACCAAGGAGTGCTCCACCACTGAGCTAAACCCCCAGTCCTTTCCACAGGTCGTATTGTGAGGCACGTTACCAAGTTGCCCAGTCTAACCTGGAATTTATAGGCATCCTCTGTCAGTCTCCAGAGTGGCTGGGATTTCCCATGTGTGCGCCCAGCTCCACTAAGTTTCTCTAAATCAAGACCTTCACTTTTCTCCTACTCCTCTTCATGTAAGCAGGGTGTCAGGTGTATTATCACCCTAACAACTGCTCGACTCTAACTATGCACCGGGATCTCCTCATTGTGACTACCAGGCTGCACTCAGGCCTCCGCCGCGGGAGTACAGGGTGCTTGCCTCTTCTGAGCAGGGCCAGGGTCTTAGCAGTGTGTGGGGGCSGATTCTCTGCAGTATCAGTGTCACCTTAAGTACCCCAGTTCTTCTTTCCCAGGAAATGATGTCAGTGCAGATCTCTATCACTCATTTCTACTTCAGTAACAGAATCCTACAATCTGATTGCCAGGACTGGGGAGGGTATTCTGTCTAAAAGCAAAATAGCAACTTCAAATATATCTTGTCCTCTGTTAGCCTTTTAGAAACTTGAAAACAATGTGATTCCCTTGCCTGAGAGAGGTTCATGGCAAGAAAGGAAAAGAGAATATGGGTAATAATGGTAATTTTCAAACAGTAATTTAAAAGACTGAAGTTAGCCAATCCCMAAAACACAAATGCTGAATGTTTTCTCTGATATAAGGAGGCTGACTCCTAGTGGGGTAGGGAGGGGAAGAATGGGAGGATTAGATGAATTCTAGGTAAGGAAAAGGGGTGGGAGGGAAAGGGAGGGGGCAGGGGACTAGCAAGGACGGTGGAATGTGATGGACATCATTATCCAAAGTACTTGTGTGAAGACACGAATTGGTGTCAACATACTTCATATACAACCAAAGATATAAAAAATTGTGCTGTATATGTGTAATAAGAATTGTAGTGCATTCTGCTGTCAATTTATTTTTTAAAAAAAAATCAATTTAAAAAAGACTGAAAAAAATGACCCTAATAAATATGGTTAAGAAGAATGAAGAGAGCTAGATTCATGAAACACACACTATGAGAGATTGAAACCAGGGTCACATAACCACCGAGTCATATCCCTAGCCTGTTTTTTGTTGTTGTTGTTGTTGTTGTCTGTTTGTTTTTGAGGGTTGCTGAGGCTGCCTTTGAACTTCCAATCCTCTTGCCTCAGCCTCCCAAACCACTGGGATTACAGGCATGCTCCTCAGAGCCCAGCAGTACTAAATTATTTAGCAGTACTAAATTACAAAACACCTAGAMTACTGAATGATTAGGGACTGGGGGAAATGGGCAGAATACAACTTAACTTTTGTCTCAGATCTTTTGATTTTAAAATTTTTTAAAAAAGCTTTATCTTTGGGGAAAACTTCTGAACATTGAAGTTCTTACAGTAAATTTATTTTCCACAATCAAAGGTAAAAGAATAAATTCCCCACTCTCTGGTCACTTAGTCTTGCTGATTTCAACTTTCCTGAGGGTTATAGGAGGAATGTGTGCTAATGTTTTTGCCTGAAGTCTGGTTTGCTGGGTGAGATTTGGTGTAAGCTCATGCAGTGATGTAGGTAGAAAGTAAGGAGGTCAGGAGACTACTCCATTAGAAATTACGAAGAACACAAGTGASGACAAAAATCCCAACTTGCCAATAACCAGCCTGAAGGCCCTGAACTCTCTTCTATGCATTAGGTCCTGTTTTCTTTCTGAAAAAAGTAGARGCCACTTGTTTCATTTCTCTTAGAATTTGATTAAAGTGACAAGAGCAATGGTATAACACTACTTCAGAAAAAAGATGCAACCGAGTGACTGCGCGGGTGGTGGGGGGGGGGCAGTTAAATTGCAGAAAAGAGGCAATTGAGAGAAAATAATAATAAACAGCATTAGCACCCTCCTCTGTCTACCTGCCATTTGGGCCAACTGCCCAACCTTCAGTAGGCCTCCAGGAGCTCCCAGCCAAAGCCCAAATGAGGGCTTGCTGCTGACTCGAGAAAACAACCAGCACTGGGTGGGGGCTCTTATAGGCCCATAGGAGAAGATGGGGGACCAGGTTCTTGCAGCACAGATGCTGCCTGGAGGCTGGCTGGTGGCTTCCTCTTAGTACCATGGGAACTGAGTACTCCTATGGGTAATCAGCAAGAGCTGTAGAAGAGAAGGGAAGAGCTACCCGTAGGGAAAAACTGGAGTAACATCAGGTGGTAGGAGTCAAAGGTACCCTTAGGGGAATACTAGCCTAACATCAGGCGGGTGGGGATCAAAACTCTTAGTTTTTTTTTTTTTTTGTTTGTTTGTTTGTTTGTTTTAATCTAGGGTGTTAGGTGTTCATATCCTCAAGATTTGAATGTTTGATGGGACCAATAGGCTGTTTGGCAACAGCATGCGCATATGAATAGCTTTGGAAATTTTGAGATTTGACAGTTTTCTGAAGCATTTTAAATTCTAATTTTTAATATTTTAATATGATTTTCAAAAGGATACTCCCAAAGAGTCTGGTATTTTTGTTGTCACTTGACCTATAAATTTTATTTTCAGTCTGGAGTAATGAAATCACTGGAAGGTAGTATATAAAATATATGTATGGAATTTGATGGACTAATATTCTTTAAGTTAYGTTCAAACAAAAAACTGGAACCATTTCATGACCCTTTGGAGAAAGTAAAATTGCCCCTTAGATCCTCTACAATGACAGCAGTGTTTCAACCAGTAAAATTAAGGATGAGACACATTCTTTTATGGTTGTTATATTAAAGCTTACATGTTTTCTTCCAGCTGATGCCACCTGAGACTCATGTTGGACCCCAAAAGTTCATTTCAGAAGTAGAACTTGTATATATGTATGTATGTGTGTTTACACACACCCATACACATAAAACCAGAATTTTAAATTGTATAATTTTATAGTTGTTATGAAATTAAGGATTAAATTTTAAAAAAAAGAATATGCAAATCAAGTATGACAGCCAGTGAACAAATAGCAATGACTCAACAAGTTCCGGATAAATCCTGCTAATAGTTTTTTTTAAAATATTGAAATCACGCAACAGGAATGTAGAAGAGACAGAAAATAATTTTAATAATCAAAGATTTTTTCCAAGAAATAAACCTTTTAAAATCAATATGATAGACCCAACCTGATCTTTTCTTAAAATTGGAGCCATCTCGCCACAAAGCCATGAAAAGATAATTTCGGCTTTACTATAAATTACTGCAAATTCTGAACCTGCTTGGAATGCCTGCCCATGCCTTGAACTCACCCATGCCTGGCTCTCTCTGACCAGACAGCAGCCCTCTCTGAAACTTAGTGACACCTCATAAATATTGGCCTTCCCTGGCCAGACAACAACCCTCTCTGAGGCTCTAATGGTCCTCATAAATTCTGATGTTGGGGCCAGCAAAAAATGTAAACTACCATCAGTGTGATGCTTGTCAGAGTTCTGTTATCTGTAACCCCGCTTTGTGTAACTTTCTGGGCTATAAAGCTGGGCTGCAGGAAAGCTGGGGCTGCTGTCTTGTTCCCGCTGTTTTGGGAGGGAGAGGCAGCCCGGCCGGTCGAAATAATAAGCTTGCTTTAATTTGATTTTAATTGGAGTCAGTGGTCTTTTCTTGCATCSTGGTCTAACAAATAGGTCACAGTCGTTTGGACAAAACAAAAGGTCTGACATACAGTTCACTCAAACAATAGCGCATCTGACCCCAAACACAGCATTTTTTCATTCTCATGTATCATTAAATAAATACAAATTAACGCAATGAGTTATTATTTTTGCCTACCACATTGCAGCTACTTTTCAGTTTGGTAATATTCTGGATATAAGAAAATGAATACTATGCAYGGTGTATGAGAATGTGTATCAGTTTTAAATTGTTGGAGGATTTTGTATAAAATTCTTGAAAATTTTGTAAATTCACACATCATGTTAGTCCCACTTCTCAGGAATTTTTTTTATTAAGAATATTTGAATAAAAAGAGAAAGATAMATACAAAGCTCTGTGGCTAAAAAAGGAAACAGACTGAATAATGGTTGACTTCATAACTAAATGTTTGCACAGTTATAAATAAAGAGCATAAATTCACAAAGAATATGATGTGCATTTACAGGAAAGCAAAATCAAAATATATTCAATATACTTTAAATTTGTTATATAGTATTTCAAATGTATTTATTAAATATGTTTAAATCATATTAAATATAGATTAAATAGGAATTACAATATATGCTATATAAAATTAAAATTAATAAAATTATTAAACTATTATATGTTAGATATGTAAATATATCAAAATATTTTTGAAAAATGTTTCAGAATGTTACATATTTTTCAACCATATTATTAAAATACTATGGTTTATGTAAATATGCAAATATAATTAGGGTTTGAAAGAAATGGACTTTCAATTTCCTCTTTGTTGACACTTAACCTTATCAACATGCAATGTATAACCATGATAGTATGTTACTGTAATATTTAAAAGTTAAAATAAAAGTTTGGAAGAAAATAAAAGTAATTTAGTTTGAGTTTAGTGTTCAGGTTTGCACCACA